GATTATGATTATAGATTTGTTGATAATTTATAGACAAAAAAATAATTTTCAGACAAAACGATTTTTCAAGGCCATATGGAGGTAATTGCCATTTTTTAAAGTAAAATTATATTATTAAAATTATTTTTTTTTTACATAATATGATTTCTCTAATTATTCTGCATATAACAGTATTACGGTCGAAAAATCAATAATTTACGAGATATTTTATACTTCATATCAAAATGTGTCAGAATAAAAATATTTTTTATATGCAAACTAAATAGAAGAATTATTTATGTATAAAAATCAAATTCAATTTTAAAAAATGGCGTGACCTCAAAAAATTGTTTTGTTCAAAAATTGATTTTATCATTATTTGTCTCTTTCTCCAAATCGCAAAAATAATTTTGTTTAAAAAATTTTTTATAAAAACCATTTCTCATTATAGTGATCAGACATTGATGACAATGCTCAATGTTATTCAACTTTAATCATTTAATAAGAATCGGTACGATAAATATTCACAAAAAGTCAACACCTCCAAAAATCAATGATCTTGACATACATATTATGTTGTCAAAGTCATGATCTTATAAGTAACCTCCAACAGGTTTTAACCGTCGCTCGTTAAAAAGTTATTATTTAAAGGTGCTGACATTTTATGAACACTTATCACCGATACTGATAATCTGCAGAGCCACGATTAAACGTAATTGATGATTTGATTGTTTCAGATGAAAGAGGCACAATACATTCTGCAATCAGTCACGCCCAAGTCTCTCGTCATACTCGACGAACTCTGCAGGCATACTACGGTCGAAGAGGGTTCTGCCATTGCTTGGGCGATATGCGAGAAATTATCGCTGACAACCGCGTTCACATTCGCCGCGACGCACTTTTTACATCTCACCGCGCTGAGCAATATGTATTATAACGTAACAAGGTATGTGGAAATCATGCACGAACACATTACACACACATATATATAATACATATATATCAATATATGTGCAATACGTCTCTGTTTTATCAATTTTATACCCACGTGTCCATGTGAAACTGGCCCCTCAATATTAAAAAATCGATTTTTTTCTTCATGCATTCATTTGCTCACGAATGCTCAGTTGGAATTTTCGTTTACTCACCCTTAGTTCAAAAGATTTGTGAACAAACGATGAGCAAACGGATGCAAAAAAAAAACAATGGTTTTTTAATTCGATACCAAAACATAATTTTCTTGTATCTTTTGAACTAAGGGTGAGCAAACGAAAATTCCAACTGAGCATTCGTGAGCAAACGATCAGCAAACGAATGCATGAAGAAAAAAATCGAATTTTTAATATTGGGGGGCTAGTGTGAAGTTGGCCCCCCAAAACTTAATTTTCGTATACCTTTTGAACTAAAGGTGAGCAAACGAAAATTTCACCTGAGCATTTGTGAGCGAACGATGAGCAAACAAATGCATGAAGAAAAAAATTAATTTTTTAATATTGGGGGGGCCAGCTTTAAACGGGTCAATTTTATGTATATTCCATCCCAAGTGTACCACTCGAAAACTTTTGGATTTTTAATTTGGCTGAAATTTTGATATATTATGGTACCCATCGCAAGAAGCTACAATGATTATTTTCGAATTTTTTTATCAACATAGTCATGAGATATGAATTTTTTTCAAAATTTGCAATTTTCAAAGAAGAGCTGCTCTGTGAAGTCAGCACCACTAAATGCGAATTTTGGTAAAATCATTATTGCATTCGTTTGTCCACTGTTTGTCCACGTTTGTCCACCCATTATTTTTATTTGTCCACCCTATTATTGTTATATTTTTCATAATAATGAAAAATAATCACTTGGGGGTACTACAATCTTTTTTTGTCTATAACTTTTTTTGGGAGGGTGGACAAATGAAAATAACGGGTGGACAAACGTGGACAAACAGTGGACAAACGAATGCAATAATGATTTTACCAAAATTCGCATTTAGGGGTGCCGACTTCACAGAGCTGCTCTGAGAAGTCAGCATCCCTAAATGTGAATTTTGATAAAATCATTATTGCATTCGTTTGTCCACTGTTTGTCCACGTTTGTCCACCCATTATTTTCATTTGTCCACCCTCCCAAAAAAAGTTATACACAAAAAAAATTGTAACAACCCCAAGTGATTATTTTTCATTATTATGAAAAATATAATAAAAATAGGGTGGACAATACAACAAACACACAATTAAAAAAAAAAAACGTTTTATTTGAATTATTTTTCGCAAAGTTATAGGCATTTGAAAATTGCGAATTTTGAAAAAAATTCATATTTCATAACTATGTTGATAAAAAAAATTTGAAAATAATCATGGTAGGTTCTTGCGATGAGTACTATAATATATCAAAATTTCAACCAAATCAAAAATCCAAAGTTTTCGAGTGGCACACTTGGGATGGAATGCCTCATATTATATAATATATAGATACATATATGTATATAAAATTGATGGAAATAATATATTTCTACCATGATCTTTCAGCCATTGTTTCGAGACGAAAACCGCGGAGTTAGAAGAATCGAGCGACTTGCATCTGATATATACTCACAAGTTGAATCCTGGAACAGGACCTACAGATCGCTATGGAATCGCTTTAGCGGAAGTATCTTCTCTACCAAAATGCGTTACAATTAAAGCGCGAGAATACGCATCCCAGCAATCCGTCGACACACAAAATGTGAGTTTAAAAATATAAACGTGAAATTATTGAACATACTTGTAAGTCATTATTAAACATCATTCGAATATTTTACCTTTTTAGAATAATTTTCGATCTATCACGAATTCTCTGTCATGGGAGAAATCATGTTACAATGCGATCGTTCAGTTACGCGCGCTTTTGGAGAATAATTGTTTCACTTTCGCAAATATAATAAGTATCATGAAACAATTGGATCTAAGCAAGCAAAGTGAGAAAACGAAAAGAGCGCAGCCAGCACAAGTTCAAGTTAAATCCCCGAAAGTAATGCAGGAATGTAGAGATCAAGAGAAATGTGAGGAAGAAAAAGGTCTTGTTGCGTCGAATAATGATTTGGCAATGACGAGGATGAAAGACTTCGTATTGTTATCAGAACCAACGAATAAAGATGAACAACAAAAGGTGAACGAAGACAAAGCTCAACATGAGCCGATGGAAATTGTCGAAAACGATAATCAGAAAATAGTCGTGTCGATACATAATGTCATAGGAAATCAAGAGGCACTTTCATTGCCAGAGACAGTCAATAGAAATACATCGACTGTTAATCCAGGTGCTTCTTTGCCACCTCTGTCGATCGATCCGCGATTTTACGTTTGCACATCGTTCGCGACGAGCACCCCGAAAACAACGTTGTCAGTTTGCGAAGCAAATCCAGGATCAAGTTTTACCGAAAACTCATCGGTAGCGATTTCTTTATCGACATCCTTTAAACCCTCTCAGTCTTTCCAATATCACGATTATTGCTTATCCGAGAAAGAATTTGACCTTACTATACCGTCTCAATCAATCCTATCAACCCCGACCGATATAGCGAAGATGTCCGCGCGGTCGAAGGAAGCGAAGATTTTTCGGCAGATCGAGTGCGATGACTTTGATGAAAACAGTTTCTTCAATTATACCCAAGTAAAATTGGATCTTTCCACGGACAATGACGTGGTGATGACAACGTAAATAAACTTGTTTTATCATGGTAATTTTATCATATCGCTGCGTTAAAAGTGATATACAAATAAAAAATTATCAAAATAATGAAAGAAATCAATTCTAGAAATTAGTATTATTTTCGTAGAAAAATTGATGTCTTCGTATAAAAAAAGAGGCGCGTCTTAAAATTAGCAGCTTTTTTCAGTAGGAATTTTATTTTTGAAATCTTGACTGGAGGGGCAGTAACCCTTTAATGAGATCGGGGTCGGATGTTTCCACGGCTTTATCTGTCAAATCGTTTTTGTATTACTATAATTATTGAAAGTTAGTTAGTAAAATTATATTTTTTATCTATAAATAAACATTTATTTATCTGTAAATAAAAAAGGAGGAAGAAAAATTTGATGTTATTATTTAATTTTTTATCCACTTTGTACACTGATGAAAAATGAACAGGGTATCGAGTTGGATCTGATTCTTTTTGAATATATTTTGCAAGCCTACCATATATCGTTAAAAAGTGAGTATACCATTTCTATAACTTTATTTTCTTTGCATATTATATTTTCAATTATAATGTATTTTTTAAAATTATGTCCTGAGTTTTCAAAATTCGAACGTTCCCACACAGCAGAAATATCCCAAATACATGGATATCTTTAAGCTATCTTTGTAATAAAATTTAGACTTTTCCACTGTATGTGAGCAACAATTCTATTAAGGCCTCCCTACACGGTCAGTAATACTGAGTCAGTATTACTGATCAGTATTACTGACAGTATGCATTAGTTTTTACAATCTTATACGATCAGGTAATATTGATAATATTTTACTTCAGTTTGACGTGATTTGACGTATATTATCATCTATGACGACATGGATTAAGGAAAAAGCATGTATTTAAATCCGAATCATCGTCAGTATTCTATGTCAACCCATTAATATTAACCATACACAATCAATAATATTGTCAATATTCGTTGATATTGACAGTATTACTGACTGTGTACAGAGGCCTTTACAGTGCAAATTTCATTTCTTATCAAAGTTGTGACATAAAAAACAATGTGTTGACAAAAATACGTTTTTCTACAAAAATAATTATCTTGTTTTTGTAAAAAATAGTATAATAGTCAGCTTTAAGAATTTTCTTGAATTATTTAAAAAATTTATTTTTTATTCAGTCTTTTATAAAAAATATGTTACTTTATTTGAGTTCATACGGTAATAAAGACATTAATTAATTGATGGTTTCGTTTTATTTATTCTCTTATCATGCCAGATAGAAAGTATGCGTGTCGATTGCCACCAAATTCACACTAACAAGCGACGAACATATGAGTGCGCGAGACGAAGACCTCCTCACAACGAAATTGACAAAATACGAAATTGACAGGTTCGTTTTCGAGAAGATACATATAAAAATTGCAAAATCGAGTAGCTTCACGTCTATGATGAAGACGAAAAGGCAATAATGATCTTCGTACGATCAATGGTTGTCAATATCGGTTTACAATATCGTAAAATCAAAGTATAAAGGTTAAACTCTATCAGGGAACGAGACTTTCACGCGAGAATGTCTACTGACCTGCTACCGGAATCAGTGAACTTGTTTCTCGATGACTTCGAGACCAGTCTCTGCCTACCTATTCTCGTGATTCTGGTGCTCTGCACTGCTCAATTCGTATTTAATCATGTCTTCGGTATCGGATGCACAATCTATCAGAGCATAAAGAAACCGACGACGGAGGAGGAAGAAGAGGAGCAGGATAAAACTAATATAATGGATAAACTTAAAGGTCTAATGTCAAGCATATATGTTCTCTATACGTGTTTCTCAAAATAGCTTATAATATATCATGGTTACGTATTAAAAACTTATACAAGGAATAGACAAAATAATGTGAGCATCTAAAAAAATATACAGTCTACTTGTTTTATTAATAGAAGTCGGCCTACCATTAGTCATTAATACAGATTTTTATCTTTAATACAAAATCAATCCTTATTAGAATAAAGTTACACACGCTTAAATAGTATAAAGACTACTACAGTGCAATATATTATATCATTCCGTTAATAGAATATCTTATAATTGCTTAAAAGCCTTAAAATATTGGAGAAAAAAGATATGTTTCTGATTCTGTTCTTCAAATTCACAAATAATATTTAAGTAAGACAATTACATTGACTAGAAAAAATATTTTGGAAAACAAAAGGCAATTTTAAAAAATAGAGTAAATAGAAAACTTTCTCCTCCAATTTGCTTGCAATATCATTTATATAAGCAATTGAAAGATATTCTACTGAAAGAATAGTATAACATTCCATTGAAAACTATTCAAGCATTGAGTAATTATTCCACAACAAGTATAAAATGTGCATAAAAATCAAATATGTGGGCCAACACATTAATAAAATAAGTGATAAAATAAACAGTGTATTTCTCCCAGGTGTTTTATATCATTTTGTTTATCCCCTGACTTTGTTTCTGGTTCGTTAAGTTCTCGTGAATATTTAACCATTCCATGAGAGTTACGTGTTTCACAAAACATGTGAAAAATCGATCGAAAAATATCTCATTTAAACGACATTTTATTCTAAATACTTGTAACTTTAAGAGGTCAAAGTATTAGCGCTGTCGCAATAATTCACAATTTTTATTTAACGTAGGCGTTCATTGATTAATACAAATCTCTGTTCTAAATCTGCTAGGAATGCTGACCACTCTAGGCATCGGAAAACCCGATACAGTGACTACGACTCCGACTAGAAATCCATTGCTACCAGATTACGATACTCGATCTCGTGAGGAGGAATGGGATTACTGTGAGGAGGATGTTGAATGAGATAATAGAACGTTCCTGTGTATACCATTACAAATACAATATAAAGTGCATAGCAAACAAATAAAAAGTATCTCAAACAATCTTTTCCTCCTTTTTAGTCATACAATTAATTTCAAATATTTACATGGAAAAGCTTGAGGATATATAAAAAGAAATATTGATTTTAAGATTCATTCACGATCATTAACATTGATAAGAGGAAACAATCAAACGTGGATTAGCCGATATTTTTATACTGCGTATCTTTACCTTCGATAAGCGTCGTCTAAGGTTCAAGTTTTAAAGCGCATGGTGGAACGTGGAAGAGAAGAAGAGAAGACTGGTCGAAGACACGAAAATGGGTCAAGGCTAACAACTCGAAGCTCTGTTAGTTTCCACGTATAAATGAAGCTTAATTAAGTCCACTTGAAAGTAATGACTACCCGCGAAAACTGTCGGGCTATTGTTCATCGGGGAACACTTTTAACGTTTCGCTACCTCAGTCTTGCTCTCCGGAAGAGTTATCAGCGAATCGAATCTGACTGATTGTTTCCGCATCGTAAAATAACAAAAAAAATGCTATAATGTACGCTGGACTATTTCCACATTCATTCATGCGACGTTTCTAAATCTAGACGGTGCCAATCCGAGACGAGGCCAACGCCTAGCGATCTCGGTGTTTTGCACCGCCTTGCATGACCTTGTAATTACAACTCGGATATGCGAAAACGTCACGTGTGAAATATCACTCTGTTGTTGAAAAACGATTTGATACGCATTCGCGCACAACGTCCTCGAGAAATTGTGTTTATACGACCGGCGGATTGCTGTTATTGCCCACAGACGCGATTTACATAGTTAACAATGAGCTATGTATGTTCAGATAAATGTATCGTTGCATTACGCGTGTATGCGTAAGATCACGTAGACTGGGTAATTCTTGGGATTCTTTCGAGGTCAAAGCACGCATATTATATTTGTACGACTGACTTTCTAACTGATCGAGGAAGGAGAACACTTGCTATTTTGCCAATAAGTCTTTTGGCAATAACATGTTCGTTTAACATATTCCAAGATACCTTTCCAAGCAACTGACAAAAGTGCGGAAATTAAAAAAGCAACACCGTCGCGTAAAAATATTATAATTTTGACCAATTAGAAAAAGCTAACTGTTTAAAAGAAACAAAGCTCAATAAAAAATAAAGCGCAAGAAGAACAAGAAGAGATAGGAAAACAGTAAATATATTACAATTTTTTTAAAAATATTACTATATATATCTCTTTTTATATTTATTATTTTTTATTAATTAGAAAAAATGTATTTACACACACACACACACACACACACACACACACACACACACACACACACACATATATACAATTTTTATCTCTTCTTTTATATATTGTTTATTTTTTACGTATATAAATATTTATATATATCTTAAAGAAAATATAAAGTTTTATCTTTTACCTACAGGAAATAACATGCATTCCGCTACTTAACGCGCAATACTAATATCGATAATCGAATATTTCTTTCGAAGGACGCCTACTTAAAATGTCCAATTAAATTAGATTAAAAAGTCGATATGGTCCAATTGCTTTTTTAATTCGTAAATCAGGTTTTTATCTGATACATCTGATAAATTTCCTTTTCTTGTTCTTCTCTTTACGTCGCATTGATAAAACGTAAACAGTTTATCGATAAAAAAAAACAATTCTCTCCTTGACTCGAATCTCAGATTGTATTCCGAAATGATATAGGAAATAGTTCTATTTGTATTATAGATATTTTATGTGTCACGAAATGAATCTTTTTTTGGCGAATAAGAAATATGCTTATACAAAAATTATGATTTATCATAATATATTATTAAAAAAGTGTTTAAAATTTGGCTATTTTGAGATGTCATATTAGTCATATAACGCCGAAGACGAAAAATGACATGTAATCAATTAATAAAATAATTACTCCGCAAAATTTTATTTTTTACTTTTTACTTAAAAACATAACAATTTCGTAATCTGGAAACCGGTAAAATATTATGTGCCAAACTGAAATATCTGTCCGCTCAGCCATCCGTAACGCATTGCGGCGATATTGATAATTGAGTAATGTAATATTTATTTAAAGAATTATTTTATACTGAGACTAGAGAAACGAAATTTAAATTTATTTCAGAAAAAAAAATAAACAATACTCCGTTTATACACATTATATATATAATATATATACTATTACGTATTTAAGATATAAAAAGTTAATTTGTAATATAAAATTTATAAATATAAGAGTTTTTGTCTCTTTTAAATACAGATCAAAAAATTGCAAGTTTTACTACGATTCTGTGACTTCTAAGGGAACATTTTATTACTTTCTAGTCTAGTTTTCCTCATGATATTTTATTCTAAAATAGATTACTATTAGAAAAATATTATTATTTATAAAATTGTAATAACATAATTTTAATTTTTATACAAAAATAATAATTTTATATTTATGTTATCTCTGTTTTTAATAACTTGTTTTAACTATTTTGAGTTCAATTTGTATAAAAGTGTATTGATACATTTTATGACTGTGCTTAGGTAAGACGCTCCTAAATATAAGATCCAACTATGTATGACTATCACCCTTAGTATCCTGTATATATCCTCACATATTCTGGTCAATATAATGTATATACAACGATGATTGTTATATTACGACCCTTGACTTATATATATACATATACATATTTGCGTTACTACAAGTATATCATATTGCAGAAATTTCTCCATAAAATACGAGATACAAAAAGAAAGCCACACAACTCTCTTGCGGATAACAATTGCAAATTTTTCGTTTGTCTATATGTGCCACACCTTGTATTCATACCTCCGAGATCTGCTGCAGTGCATTAATTCGTGCGAAAGTTAAACGTTAAAATACTCAGCCGCGCGAAAAGTTCGCCAAGTGTCGGAGAGACGAGCACTTCTCCTCGCAACCGTGAAGAAAGTCGAACCATATAACCGACGATGCGTGGGAAGATGTTAGTTACGAAGCATGGCAAACGAGTCGACGAGTGGTACCGTTATCCACGTGATTTACGGCAGTGATCTACACAAATCAGGGGGAGAGGAAGAAAAAGTGCGTTCCCTTTAAATTCATAATGTCAAATTATGTAAATCTAATTTGAGTTATTTTTAATCATTTCTATATATTATAGATTGCGAGTACTCCTACCCATCGTACACATTGTTAGTTTAACTAAAACAATATAACTAAAAACATGTAAATCTGATTGTGAGTCAAATTTAATTTATTATTTACTGCACTAAGAAGAAATGTACTACTTGAATTTTCATAAATATTTTTTTGAATAATGGCAGTTGAATGTTTACTAAATATAAACATATCTATATTTATTTGGTACAAGAATCATTAATTTATTTTAACTATTTATTTTCTATAAATATAAATGTTACATTAATATAACTATTCAAACAATTATTTATTAAAATTTAATATATTCTTATCTCAGTATAAGTATACGGAAAAAATATTTGATTGAAGTAATTAAAATTCTGAAGAAGATAAACGATTCAAAATTCTGGGGTTAAGTCTATTAGAATTTTAATAGATGTAACCAGAATTCTGGATCGTTCATTTCCCACTAGAATTCCAGTATAATTCAATCAAACACCTTTCAATGTGCACTCGTTAAGATAAACGTTGTTTATTTCAAAACTAATCACGGAAATGATTAGATTTACATTTTGACACATATAGAAGTTAAGAATAACGAAATGTTGTTTAATTCAAAAGATTGCGTTGTCATTACTCTTTTTGACATCTAACAGTACGCGCCCAGATACGATTAGTGTGGCTGACCACGCAACACCGGACGGACGACGGATAGTCGCGGCAATCGTTACGATCCGTGAAAGCGAGCCATGCCATGTCGTACAATCGATGGGAGCGTTTATATGCTTGACGGCGTACACGGGGAGAATGTGTGTACGCTTTTGCTTGCTTGCTTACTTACTTACGCCGTATATAATGTAACGTATGCAAAGCGTAGAGGCGAGTAATTTATGCGCCGTACGTACGAGCGCGTGATCGCGTTCGCGTTGTCGCGTATGCGAGATCGTAAGTATTGCTCGTAAGAGGAGATTTAAGAGAGATCCTCTTGAAAGAGGCGCACTATGAGACGCGATCCGCTATCTCGCGATGATCTTTCGGGCCGCTCCTCTCCCAAGTGTTTATTTCTTTGCGGATTAATAATAATAATGGATAGGCTACTGGCGCGATAGCTCGATGCCTCACTCGGTGTCTTTATTTAGGTGCAGAAATAGCAATGGTGATACATTAACTCCCCGGAGCTGACAGTGGATCTCTTAAACGATCTCTATAGGCGATCAATATTGTTGCATAAAATATTTGATATTGCAATATTATTGATCGTCTGGAAGCTATATTGAGAATGTAAAATGTTTGTTTTGAATTATTTAAAGACATCAATAATATTTTATTAAATAATTATATTTTGAACGTCTAGTGGTCGCTTCAATCGATTTATCGGACTCAATTATACCGAGAGAAAGGTATTTGATATTTGTGACTACAAATAGAAAGTATACAACAAATTGAAAACAAAGAGGTTCGTTGTATAGCCAATTACGGTTTTATAAGACACTTTGTATTGAAAATAATTATAGTTCATTTATAATTTTATTACACTAAATATTTTTTCTTTTAATATAGCGTTGGGTGTTTTTAATTAACATTAATTAAATGTTTACAATCGTATGCAGCTTCACAGCTGACGCCAAATTCTATTAAATTGTCCAATCATCATTCGTCGTATCTTTCATCTTCTCTGTTATGCAACGGCGAGTTACGCGACTTATTATATGTTCGGTTCCGCAGAAATCCTACCGGTCTATGTTGAGGTAGGCGTACATAATTCCGCAAATCGGGTCAGGTCAGGCCGTAGAGCAACAAGAACGGTCTTGAGAGGCTTCAAATTCTTGATATGTAAGCGCCTATAAGCCAGTTTTCGAGTCACCCGACACTTGCCTCTTTTTGCTCGCATCGCGTCGAGTCGGCTTCGCTCGTTCGCATAGAGCTAGGAAGAGCGCAAAAATGTTATCTTAATCGCGCGCGGATGTCAGCTGAAGACATCTGTTTTTTCCTCGATGTCATCAGTTCATTAACTTTTAACTACAGTCTAATCGACGCTGTGGGCTCGATAATGA